GAAATTGAAGGAGAAGTTTTCTTCTGCCTTCTTTACTCTTGATCCAAATTGATGTTAAAGCAACTTTTCAGGCTAATAGTTGTTTTTTGTCTTGACATTAACATGAATGGAATTTTAGTGCAGCTGGAAGGCGTAAATTGACAATTCGTACAATTTCAGGCAAGTTCTTCATACCAGTGATCATTCAACTATTTCCTCGGACTTGGAAGGTGAAATTTTCAACTTCTTCTGAGATCAAGCAAAGGTGAAAAGCTTAAGATGTTCTGTTTCTTTGATAAAAAATACACTCGAAATCTTTTTGAGATTTTGGTGTCATTACCTTTGCCTTTTCTGCTTCTTCATCTAAGCATCCTTCATTTAGAAGATTTTTTTTTTCTGTTGTAGAACATTGCTTTAAACAACAAGCACTTCAATATTTGGTGGACACTAGTACTGCTTTATCAATTGTTACACCTTTTTTTGTTTCATACTCTCTGTAGTGTCTTTTTTGTGTCTAAAAAGGTTTTACTAATACTCTTATGTCTTCCAAGTAAACGAGTTTTAAGTACATTGGGAAAAATGAGATTTCCGCTTGCTTCTTTACAGCTTAATCCAAAAGGTTGCATTTTGCCTACTTCTTTTCAGTAAAAAAGTAAATTTTTATCCCACGTAGTGTATGAAGTACCTTCTTCAACTCTTTTTAGTACTAGTAATTTATTTTTGGCAGTTCATCTGCAACTTTATCCTCTATGCTATTTAATTCTGCTTCTTTTTTGAATGTCTGAATTAGATTGCTTACAGAAGTTTCTAAAGTGACACTGGTAACAGTTACCTTTCAAAAGACAATTTTGTACATCCTATTATTGAGCAGATTTAACTTTTCAGGTAATTCTTGATACACTTGTACCGGAGACAGATTCATTTCATAATGTGTTTGCATACAACTTTGGATTAGCAATCCAATAGACAATGATCATCCTTAGATAATCTGCTATGTAGCTGCTCAACCGTGAAATTGCTTTTATACTCTTACTAATCTATGTCTTGTCTCTTCCTCCTTTCTTTCTTTTGGTGAATGCAAGACGATGCTCTGGCTTTTAATTCACTGAGCTCTAGCGGTTCTTCCTCTTAATCACAGTTCATATCTTAGATGTCTTGGAGTTGACAAATTCTTCATATTTCAGTTGACGAAATGGCATGCCTGAGCATTTTTCTTCTTCAAGTTGCATTTTCATTAAGGTCTAACAGAATGACAATTTCTTAAATACGTTTAACTGCTGCTTGATGGTTAGAGGCTTCAGATGCAGATATTCTCCTTCCTGATCCCATTTCCCTTTTATAGTAGTAACATTTTCTGCTTTATCTGTCGAGTTAAATGAGCTCTTAGGACTTGGATTTGGTCATTTGCTCTCCCCTTCAGCGAGGACACATGAGATGCCGACCACTTCACCTCTTTAGCACTTGTGATTTATTCAAATGATGGTTTTTTTTAGATTCATAATAAATTGATTGATTACAGTTTAGCAACTGAATAGTTATTCAATTCACAACCCGGTGCACTAAGCTCCCGCTATGCGCGGGGTCCGTGGAAGGGCCGGACCACAAGAGTCTATTGTATGCAGCCTTACCCTGCATTTCTGCAAGAGGCTGTTTCTACGGCTTGAACCCATGACCTCCTGGTCACATGGCAACAACTTTACCAGCTACGCTTAGGCTCCTCTTCCTTTTTCAATTCACAACCAAGACGCAAATTACCGACAGCTAAATTTGAGCTACAGAGACTAGTTTCATTTTTCTTCAGCTTCATTCGTAGACCTCTTCACGTTGGGGACATAGACCCTAGTACCAAGAACCAACAGAGAAACAATAGTCATTTTCATTATTTTCCTTGGCTTCTTTAAGGTTTGCAGCCAAACGACTAGAAATTGCGGTTGTTTCATCATCCGTCTCATCATCTGACAATTCACTTCCAGATTCACTGTAAGAACTACTTTTATCTGCTCGTGTTTTTTCTGCAAGATATTTAGCTTCTGTTTGCTCACTGGTTTTAGGACTAATGTTATTTTGCTCTTCTTTTGCTGGCAATTCTTTATCCTTTTTCACTGCTTAAGTTATCAGTGTTGGTTGTTTAACGTGAAGAATGCCATTTTCAAACTTTGCACTGATTTTTCTTTTGTTAATTTTCTGCAACAGGAAAATCCTTCTGAAACCTTTGCCATTTGTTCTGCGAAGTTGGCCTTTGTCCACTGATCTTCAGAATTCCTGTTCTGGTCAGTTGAACCCTCAGCTGGTCCTTCTTGAAACCGGTGTGACATATGAAATCAATACATAGCAGAAGATAGAGAATAATCAATACGTGCACGCGCTGACACATGTACACATATATATAGTCCGAGTTAGATGCAATTGATTCTCTCCTATTCGCATCTAGTCTAAGTCGGTCACTGATTTGAGGAGGAAGAAACAGATAGCGAATGGCAGGAATATTGATTCTCTCCTATTCGCACAAAATCTCGCATACTTGAGTTGGTACAGCAGCTGTAGCTCCCTTTGAACCCCATTTTCTGTGTTTCTTTTCTTACTTTTGCTAGTATGCAATCTTTCCCTTTATCCTTTGTTCTTTGTTCTTGTTGATGGAAAGGATGAAGCTGTAGTGTATATATACACACAGAAAGTCCTCAAAGAAAACTTTCTTGAGATGCTCTCTTTCTTTTCTCCAAAATATATGTTAATTAATTTCAATTCTTTGTTTATAAACCTTTTTTTTCAACTATAAGGTTTTCTTGCACAATAAGAAAAACCTGAGAAGAACTCCTAAATGAGAAACCTTAAGTGTAAGAGAGTTTCTTATTGTTGGACTTCATATTTTAGCATGAGAGAAGTTGGAAAAAATTTCAATGTGGCCTCTCATTTTTCCTTTCTTTTTCTAATTTGTTTACTCTTTTTTCTTTAATAAGTCTACTTTATTCATTTTTCTTTATCATAAGGTGATTTATCATTTTAGAATTTCGGGGTTGTGGACGTGTTGCGATCACAATAATTAGACATAAAATTTAGGTACATCTTGGAGTTGCGATAACAACAATTAAGCAAATGCAAATGGCATGTGTACTATAATGTTGTACGTTATGAGATTATATAAATTATGGTAGGAAAAACTCTTCGTTACCACGAAGGCAGAAGGGTATTCGGCGGCAAGGGTGCCATAATTGCAATAAACTATTGATATAAAAAGGACCAGATTTTAAGAAATTCATATTTCTAACTCTGAATTTTGAAATTTTGAGCTACAAGTTTAAGGTGATTTTTGCGTGAAATCATCCTATGAACTGAGATAAAGATTCTAAAGCAATATTTTGAATGTATTAGCTATATTTCGATTAAATGCATGATTATGATCGGTCAAAAAGATTTAAATATTATTAATAATAAATAATGATTAATTGTCCATATTATACGTTAATAATCATTAATAGAATAATGGCATATATAATATGTATATTATTCGTAATTGCGGTAAAGACAAAAAATACAATGTGATTTTTTCACATCTATACTTAACCATTTTATTAACAGTCTGAGTGTTTTTAGTACTTATCCTATTAATTATAAGGGTAATATTTGACAATTAAGGAGTTGACTTTTTAAAAAGAATTTAGTGCAAGTACATCCGTGAATTTAACTTTTTTTGTTTGTTAAAAAAAGGACAACTTGACAATTACATACACAACCAAATAATTTACCTGACTGTACCTATTCCAAATTATTTAACCGACTCTACCCATTGTATATTCATTAAATAGGAAAATTGCCAAATTTACTCCTAAAGTATACGAAATAGAGCAAATTTGTCCTCTGTTTGCAAAGTGGCTTATGGCTACCCCTTTCGTTACTCAAATGGCCCGTCTTTAACCGAAATAAATAAATCGAATTTAAAACGTGTCATTATAAACCCCTCTACTAACATCATACTACATTATTCTATATACTATAATAATATATTATTGCGATAACTGTATACTCTTGAATTATATATTGTACACCAAAATGACATACAATATATCAAAATGGTATAAACTATACACTTCGTCTGGTTCGTTAGTTCAACTCAATTTTGACCTAAAAATCCAAAAATCTACTCCAAAATCTCAACCAAATTGACTCAAAATTGCCACAGCCTCCAATTAGCATTTTTAGCACACCTCAATTAGAATCGGATTACGAAAACTATAAACTCGACAACTCAGTTTATCTGTTTCAAGCATCAAGGTCCTCAACGATATCTAATTTTTTTTTCAAGACAAAAGTTCGAAAATCATCATTAATACCATAATCTACAAATCAAAGAACAAACCCCAACAAATAACAAAACACACTTCAAAACACAAACAAAAAATTCAGATATGAATTTTTAAACTCATACGCTTGGAATTTCAATTCTTTTTCTTCATATCTGAAATTTTGAAGTCAATTTTTCTTCCTTCTAACCACTTTTAAAAAAAAAAAATAGGAGGTTGAGATTTGGTGAAGAGATTAGGAAATATAAGAGATTTGGAGAAGGAAAGATTATCACATGGTCAAAGAGGATTGAAGAATAGGTAGGCGAGTAATATTTTAATCTCAAATAGGTATTTTGTTTTGTTTTCGATAAAAAAAAAGCAATTATTTTATCGCTTTTTAACTTAAAGAATAAATTAAAATCGGTGGGAATGGTACTGTCACTTGAAAATTTGATTTGAATATGTTAAAACTTAAAAATGTGAGGGGTCTTAGGTGAATTATCCAAAATATAAATTTTGGATTTTTTTCTTCTTTCATACGAGACATTAACTAATTAGCTAGCGTTTGGCCATAGATCCCAAATTTATTTTGAAAAATCTAATTTGGGTGAAGTTTAGTTTGAAGATTAAAATGTGTTTGGACATACGTTTTAAAAACATATTTTGGTCCAAAATATGTATATAATTCCCAAGTTTTGGGATTTTATTTGGGATTTGGAATTTGGCTAAAATGAGGGCAAAATTTCTGGCCAAACCGGGGCTTAATTTATATTAGGGCACACCCCGATAGATCAGAGCACCGGCCGGAAAATTAGGGCACACCGCGATTCCTTAGCCAAATTGAAGATGAGGAGAATTCCTCTGCTGCATTACTGTTCCAATGCCATTCGCTTTAGCTCATGCTTTGCTATTTCCCGTTCTGTGTCGGCATTTACAACCAGAGATTGTTCTTCTTCTCATAGCAATACATCCATTCCGGCAAAGGGTAAAATTGGGGTAGCTAGCAGGTTTGAGAATGTCAAGTGTTTAGATGAAGCTGTGAGTCTATTCCGTCGAATGGTAAGAAAGCAGCCTCTTCCTTCTGTTTTTAGCTTCTCGAAATTATTAAAGACTATGGTAAATATGAAGCATTACTCTTCTGTTGTTTCCCTTTTTCGACAAATGCTGAAATCGGGTATCCCAATTGATGGTTTCATCTTGAGTATCGCGATCAACAATTATTGCCTAATGCATCGTTCTGACTGCGGATTTTCGGTGTTAGCCATTTACTTGAAGAAGGGCATTCCATTTAATGTTGTCACGTTTAGCACCTTACTAAGGGGACTCTTTGCGGAAATGAAGATAAAAGATGCAGTTAACTTGTTCAAAAAGTTGGTGAGAGAGAATATTTGTGAGCCTGACGCATTCATATATTCAACTGTCATGAATGGGCTTAGCAAAAGAGGTCATACTCAAAAAACTTTCGATTTGTTTAGGGTAATGGAACAAGGAAGCACTAAGCCCAATGCATACATCTATAGCATTGTTATAGATGCCCTATGCAAAGATAGAATGTTAGATGCCGCAATTAGCCTTTTTGAAGAAATGAAACAAAAAGGTATTCCTCCAAACGTTGTCACATATAATTCATTGATTGATGGTTTCTGTAAGCTTGGTCAGTGGGAAGAGGTTAGGACTTTGTTCTTCGAAATGGTAAATCTTAATATTTATCCAGATGTCTGCACCTTGACCATAGTGACAGATGGACTTTGCAAAGAAGGGAAAGTTGAAGATGCTGAAGAGATAATGAGACACCTAATTGGAAAAGGTGTAGAGCCAAATGTGGTCACCTACAATGTGATAATTGACGGATATTGCTTGCGCGGCCAAATGGATAGAGCAAGGAGACTTTTTGATTCCATGATAGATAAGAGCATTGAGCCTACCATTATTAGCTATAACATATTAATAAATGGATACTGTAAGAAAAAGAAATTGGATGAGGCCATGCATTTTTTTCATGAAATTTCTCGAAATGGATTGAAATTTAGCAATGTTACCTACAATACTATCTTACAAGGTCTATTTGAAGTTGGAAGAACTGACATTGTGCAAAAATTCTTTGCTGATATGCTTTCTATGGGGCTCAGACCTGATTTATGCACTCATCGCATTTTGCTCCGTGGTTATTTTCAGAATGGACTAGTTGAAAAAGCTATGTCTCTATTTCATGACTTGGAAAGAAATAGAGAAGATATTGATATTGAATTTTACACTATTATTATTGACGGATTGTGCAAAAATGGTCAGTTCGACAAAGCTCATGCTATTTTTGAGAAGCTTTCTTTGATTGGATTGTTTCCCAATGTGATTACATACACTACAATAATTAATGGACTATGTCTAGAAGGGTTGTTAGATGAAGCTAAAGATATGCTAAGAAAAATGGAGCACAATGGTTGTTCACCAAACAACTGCACTTACAATGTTATTGTGCAAGGATTTCTCAAGTGTGGCAAAATTAGTGAAATGATCACTTTTTTGAAGGAAATGAGTGGAAGGGACTTCCCGTTTGATGCAAGTACTGTAGAGTTACTAATAGACGTTTCAGCAAAGGATCCTTCTTTGCTTAACATGATACCACAATTTCACTCGGGAAGTTAGAAGTGAATATTTATTTCACTTGTTATCAATATGATGTAATTTCCTTTTGCCTTGGCCAAAGAAATCGCATCCAATGGAATGGCAGAAGCTGAAAGCATGCAATTAGAACATTGCTTAAGCTTTCCAACCTAGCTTATTAAAGAGGTACACCTGTTCTAATTTTTAATTCTTTCGCCACTCTGCTTTTTTGTTCTGGATCATATTTTATTGCACTCTTAATATGAAAAGTAACGTGAGTTCCCTTATGTGTGCACATTATAAGTCTACTAGGATTATCATTTTCAGTGGTATTTAGTTATCTTCAGGTATTCATTTTCTGACTTTTTGAATATCAATAACAATATCCTGTAACTTAGAATTTGATGTAGAAACATTATTCTTGATAGTTTCTAAGGTCTTGATTACATCAATCATAATTGTGACAATAGAGCTGACGTGACACCATTGAGAGCTCCAGGTCAGCTGAGAAGCTAATTTCCGTGTTACGCGAGAGAGTGAATTATGGTGCTGGCATTCGTCCTGGATTTACGACATCCGGGATTCCATCCACCGATGAAATTGCTGACAGAATCAAGAAGATGCTTGCAGGATACCAATATACTCTGGTTTAACCCTGATTGTGGCCTGAAGAATCGCAAGTATGCTGAAGTTAAGCCGTGCTCTCAGCAGTGGCTGGTGAATTGTTCAATGGTCCTCCTGGAGCATACTGGACTGCAGAGGAAGCAGAAGATTATGTTTCACATCTTGCATTAATGACACCTGCAACAGTTTCCTTGCAAAAGGTAAAACACTCATAGGCTAGGTAGTCAACCTGTCTTGTATATCTCTACTGTATCTGGTTTATACTATTTGTTGTTTTGACAAATTGAAATTTTTTCTAAACTGTTTGACGTTTTAGAAAATGAAGAAGCATTTATCACCCTTTTCCCAAATTTATCCTTCCTACTCAAGTGTAGAAATTGAAGGAGAAGTCTTTCATGAAGATGCTGCAAAGTCCAAGAAACAGGCAGAAGAAATGCTGGCAAGGTCGCTTATATAGCTTTAACAAAATGTAAGCTAATAGCTAATACCATTCTTTACTTTTCGACATTCTTTTGACATCTTTTCCAATTTCAGGCAACTGTTTCCCTCAGGACTTGGAAGATGAAATCTCCAATACCAAACCTTTCATGGAAACTACGGAAACTAAATCTCCAAAACAGTCCACAGGTGCAGAAATGGCTACTACATCTGCCTAGAGGAACTAAATCCTTAGCTGCAACGACACCATCACATCTCTCTCTCTCTCTCTCTCTCTCCCCCTCTCATATGTTGAAATCTAATTAGCTGCTCCATACCAGACAATTTTTACCTGCTAAAATTGAGCTTATTTTACTTTGTAGAAACATTGCCAAGTCAGTTAATCTTTCTACACTTGTACTAGTGACAAGTCATTGCACAATGTACTTTCATATAGTTTTGGATTAGAAATCCAATAAACAATGATCATCAGAGTACATTCTCTGCTAAATAGCTGCTCAACCGCGCAGTTTATTTCTTATTAATCTATCTCTCTCCCTTTTTTATTTCCTTTTGTTTTTAGCAAATGAAGGTGCTGTTATGGCCTTTGGCCAAGAGCTCTAGCAGTACTTATTTACAAGAAATGTCTTGGATGTTGTTATGGCATTAAACTAAACATTCTCAAAATGTTTTGTCACTTCACATAAAACTCATAGATATTCAAAATATCACAAATGTCATTTTTCATGCACAGTAAGACTCCTAAATAAAGCATAAGGTCATATATTTTACTTGGAAATGTCACAAATGTCACAAAGTGGATCTCTAACTTTGAGCTTGTAAAGATCCAGAGGTGGACCTATGTATTGATTAGAGGTTACCAGACCTGTCAACCTTGGCAAAAGTTTCGAATATACATGTGTATATTTGTTGAAAACGATCATATATTTTACTTGGAACCTTTAAGATCAAAAGTCCGATGAGGGCACTGGTTGAGCAGTCTGCTCATGTGCCCCACCACTTTTAATCCTGGGTCTACCTCTAGTTAATCTTTGCTCCACTACACGGTTGACGGCTTGCTCAAATGCAGGTACGCCAACATACTCCAGCAACTGCTTGAACAACTTTTGTGCATTTCATTGATCAGCTGTGGTAATTAACAAATATGAAGTTTACTGTAACTAATCATCAATCTGAAGCAGATATGATGCATTCATAGAATCAAGGTACCAATGTTAAGCAAGCATATAATCATCATTATTTCAGAAAGGATAGAAAGTCATCAAACTCATGCATTCATGGCTTCTGTTGCCATGTCATGAAGCTACAATTACCCCGGAGTCGCATAGTAGAAAGGAGATCCAATATTGCTACAGCAATGCAGTGAAAGGAACTGAAAAAGAAGTTTGTCACTCTTCTTTTATGAGTAGCTCCCAAATACACTTTAGAGAGCATTGGTTCCTTTCCGTATTTTTGCTCCTATAACATAGTTATTTAAGACGTGGGGTTCAAGTCCCAACGCAATGCTTGTTAGCCATGGTGAGCATTGAATTCATGGATAGGTAGTATTCCCGCCGGTTCACAATAAGTGACCAATTTACTTTTGGCACGCTCATTAAGAAAATATTAAATTCTATACAAAAATACCTAGTATGACTATACTACCCTTAATTAAATATTTAATGTGAGGAGTAAGAAAACTTTTTAGGGATATCTACATTAGGATAATTTTGTAAAACAAATTGAATTTTTTCTTGATTATATAAATGGACACTTATTTTGGACCAAAATAAAAAAGTAAATTGGTCACTTATATATAGGCATTATATGGGTTATGTGCATTACATGTAGGGTTTATAAAATGTGATACGTACATGTATTCATAATATAATATGAATAAAGACTGATTAAGTATAAACCATCATATAATATGAATAAAGACTGGTTAAGTATAAACCAATCTTGAGATTGCTTATACTTGAAATAACGCCCCACCAAGCAAGTTTTCTGCAAACAACAACAACAAATCTATTATGGTGCAATATGAAATAAAGTAAAATAAGAGGAATTTAAATAGAGATAATTAATAAACTTTTCTTGATGATGTTATACAAATGAGTAGAAAAGGCTTTTATTTATAAGAAAGTTGCTTGGTGGCCAAGTAACCAATCTTAGTGACCAATAACTAGACTAGTTTATGACTAACTGTTTTGGTCCCAAGTAATTTCATAATACATGAACGATCATTCTTAATATTATTTAGGAATTTTTACATTGCTATACACTATTGGAAACTTTATTACCCTTCCTACTCAAGTTTCACTTTAATTACCTTCTATATATAAATTTACCAATTATGTAAATTTTTGGGGATTTAATGATAATTAATTAAGTTTGTATATCATTCTAACGTACAATCCCACTCCCCCACGTTTCTCTCTCCATATCCCACTCCCCCATGTTTCTCTCTCAATCAACCCCAACGTATATTTAGTATCTCCCCCATTAACGGCTATTTTCACTCTTCTGAAACAATCTCTCTAAATTTTTTTCACTCTTCTTCAAAACTTCATCTCGATTTCTACAGATTCCAGCTCGAAATACTCTACCAAGAGCCCGTTTGGCTTAGCTGATTTAGAGTAGCTGATAAGCATTAGGTGCTAAAAAGTACTTTTAAGTGCTGAAGCTGATTTAAAAAATAAGCAGTTACGTGTTTGGATAAAAGTGCTGAAATTAATAATATGCAGCTGAAGAACTGGATATACGAAGAGTTTTGTTTTAAGAAGAAGTATTTTAGGGATAGAATAGTAAATATTTTGGTCAAACTTAAAGTGCTTATAAGCTGAAATTGATAAGTTGGGGGAGACCAACTTATGACTTTTGGCTTATTTTTGGCTTGTAAGCACTTAACTTATAAGCACTTTTAATTTTACCAAACGCGTAGATAAGCCAAAAAGTGCTTATAAGCCAGTTTGACCAGCTTATAGAGCCCGTTTGGATTGGCTTAAAAAAAGTGGCTTTTAAGCACAAGTGCTTAAAAGCACTTTTTTAGTGCTGAAGCTTGTTCTCTAAATAAGTTATGTGTTTGGATAATAGTGCTGGAGCTGGAAAAAAGCTGTTGAAGTGTTTGGTAAACAAGTGCAAGTAAGCACTTTTTCTGTTAAAATGACTGAAATATCCTTAAACCTGTTAACACACGAAAAATAAGCTTATTACTACAACATCCTTAATGTAAAATTACCCAAATACTGACTAATTTATGTCTTAATTAACTCTAAATTAAACTAATTAGATAAGATTATTTTTAATGAATGTAAACTGAATGCCAGTAGAATTGTAATATGCTTTTGTTCTGAATATTCAACTACTAAATAAAACTATTTGTTTCTAGAGTGAAATGAAAAAATGTAATAGAAGTATAAATTAATGCCAGTAAAACTAATGCCTCAGCCTTTGCATAGTTTCTTTCTTTTTTTTTCTATGCTAGTTCTCACATTTGTCTAATATTAGGTAATTAAGGGTTTTATTAATTACTTATCACAGAAAAATAAAGCAACCTAATTTATTATAATAATATGAAGAAAGATATCTGCTACGTCAAAATGGAAGATGGGAAAAAATGACGTTATGACTTAATTAGTAAAGTAAGGGTATTTTGTAATTTATAAAAAAAGGAGGGATAATAAGGTCAATTACTTGGTCAAACATGAAAAGCTTTTAAGCTAAAAAGCAATAAGTTGGACATTCCGAACTTATGGCTTTTGGCTTAATTCAGCTTAAAAGTACTTGACTTATAAGCTGTTTTTAGGTTTGCCAAACACTCAAACAAGGCAAAATGTGCTTTTAAGCTGGTTTGACAAGCTTTTAAGCCAATCCAAACACCCTCGTAAGCTTAGCCAAACACCCTCCAAAATTGTAATTGCTTAAATTTTTGCTTAATTTTCAATAAAGAAGAAAACAATCTCGTATTGAAGACGAAGAAAGAGAAAGGTGAAATGCTTGAGGACGTTGAAATACAACCTGGAAAGAAGTTGTGTGTATGAACAAAGGAACCTCGCGATTTTCTGAAACATAAAAAGTGTTAATGGAAGTTAAGTGGTATTACTAATATGATCCTTTTTCCCCTTAAGTGACTGCTTTTGTTCTGTTTAATATGACTTCGGGTGTGGACATTCGTCCTGTTCCTACTGTTATTCTAGTCTAGTCTATTCTAACTTCTCATTTGGCGAAACACATTAGTGGTACCATATAAGACAATCTATACATGTTTTGATAGAGCAGATTTAGTTCAGGTTATGGTTTCTACACTTTTACTGCATAATGTGCTTGCATAATTTTGGATTAGGAATCCAACAAAATAGTTGTTCAACCGTGGGATTATTGTTATGTTCTTATTAATTTGTCTTGTGCCTCCCTCCTTTGTTTCCTTTCGCCTTTGGTGAATGCATTATGCAGCTCTAGCAGGTCTTCCTAATCACGAGACATGTAAAATCTCAAAACTTTATTGTTGCTCCTTAGAAAATAGAGAAGACAAATTTGGTATTTTTGATTTGATGTTATTTGACTAAATTAGTGATTGAGATTGTTGTATTGGTGTTTGGAGGCTTTGTTTCAAATAAGATAATTTGAAGCGGGTTTTAGATGGTTTGATCGAAATTAGAATTGCAAATGCGAACATATTTTTTTATTAATATAGACAAATCATGCCAATTTGGTAGGATTTGTAAACAATCAAGATAGACCGGATCAATTGACACAACGTCATGCATATCCAGTAAGATATGTTAATATATTAACAACAAATGTCAATCCGCTAAAATTTGTGAACAGTTTAACAAGATAGTTAGAATAAATATTGCACAAAGCCTTGCAATCAGGTGGGAGGTACAAGCAACTGAACAAGCACAAAATTATGTCAATTGATATGAGTTATTTTGTAAATGAAAGCTATAAAGTAAACCTATCATCTGAGGATTTGCAGCGTATTTATGATCCGTGGAAACACTCAGTAATCATTAAGCTCTTAGGGAAGCGAATCATGCACCACTACCTAAGGAGGAGGGTACAAGAACAATGGAGGATTTCCGAGAACTTCCCACTAATTGATTTGGGTGCAGACTACTACGTTGCCAAATTCACAAATGAAGAACACCTAACTAAAGTCCTACACCACGGTCCTTGGTTCATCAATGGACATTTTCTCTCAGTCCAAAGGTGGGTGCCAAACTTTGTGGCATCAGCTGCAAATCCCCTAAGTACTGCTATATGGGTTCGCCTCCCCCACCTTCCAACTGAGTTCTACGTTGGTGCGATTCTTAGGAAAATTGGGAACACCATTGGGAGATTGTTAAAAGTCGACGCATGCACATCAACTACCCTACGTGGTCGGCATGCTAGATTATGTGTGGAAATCCCCTTGGATCAACCAGTCAAATCTTTCATATTCATTGGGTCACATAAGCAGTCCATCCATTACGAAGGAGAGAATTTTCTCTGCAAAAGATGCGGTAGGCTTGGACATATCAGTCCACACTGTCCTTATTCCAGGACATCAACAGCTCCAAAAGAAAAGGAACCGCAGAGTCCCCAAAAAAACCTTCAAGATCCAAGCAATGAAAGCTGGGAGACAGTTTCGTTTAACAGGCTCAAAAGCAGAGGCACACGTTCTAAACTAATTGTTGTTAACGATTCAGACACGCCAGGTATTAATGTTAAGATCTTCAATGCAGACACATGTAAGTTCCTTCAAAATCAAAAATTAAAGTTTGTTGAAAACGATTTTTATGATAAATCATTACAATTCAAAGGTATTAACAACCCTTTATATGCTATTAGTAAAGATATTCATCTTACCATTAACAACAAATTCCACTCATTAGCCTTATCGCCCACAGATTCCACCAATAACCAAGATCAAATGGTATTGGATGAAAACAATGAGCAATGCATGGAAGGTAAGTTGTGCCCAACTGACCCACCTATGTTACACGTGGCAGGTGCTGTGATACCACCCTCCTTCACGCCCCAATCATTAGCTTGGCCTACAATTAGCAATACCCCCCGGTATGTAGTAACATTATCAAAGATCAAGCAACTAATACAATTTACCCTCAAAATCAACCAATTAAAGAGGCTCTCCCACACTACTCCACCACTCAACTTTACCCATTGGGTGTTTTAACGTCCAATAAGATGGCATTACCACAACAGCTGTCCACTCCTTTAGTAGATATTGAACAAATGGACACTACTCTAATAAACGTGTCCTCTACTAAATCTCTAGATGAATATGTTACGCTTCCCCATCTCATCCCCATGCACATAGACCCTAAACCTATAAAACTATCAACTGCCTCTAATCCTATCAAGTGTGCAAGCAGTATAAACTCCCATTCTAGTCCCAAACAATATCAATATGCCAAGAATTCCACACTCACTAAGAAGGAGAAACAGACTGATCCAAGTTCTCCGTCAATCTCCTCGTCCAACTATGAACAATCTGCCACCCCTCCCACCTCAAATCCCAAATCCAACAGTCTACTACACTTCTCCACCATTACCTCCAAACTACCAACCTCTCAACTGGATGGAAGCAGGCTTAATGGGCCATGCGATCTCCTTCAATATGGAGATCAATGGCCAGGACACAGTCATTGTGATTCAAAATACCCCCTACCTGGCACAACTTATATCGGAGGGGGTGAGGTTGGCCATGAACAACTTCATGACACAAACCTGGATCAACAATGTGCTCCAGCATCTTGCACCATCCATGAATGCCAACCTGCTTCAAGCCATGCAAAGCCACTGGAATCTCCCACCTAGAGCAAACCCCCAGACCCCACTCCCTCACACTATGGATCTCCCCTTCTTTCTCTCATAGGAGATCTCTCTACTCAGTCCCATTCTCATCCCATGGGACTCCCATGCAAACCAAGTCCCAGTCAACATGCCAAACCAGATGGAGAACAATCCACCTTCCAACGAATAAGGTCAAGGACAAAATCAAATGGAGGAAGAGGAAGAAGTGGAACCCCTAAATACGAAGCTGAGTGTGGAATTTGCAAACCTAACGAGGTAAAGGTTCTGCTCTTCAAGGAAAACATGAGCAAAAAGTTCATATTCAACTGGCCTCCCTCAGTGATCAAATGCTCGATGGACATAAGGCCACCAAGGGACCCAACAGTGGGCTCCCATGCAGTGATCCTAGTCCCATGCAAAACGAACTCCAACCCCCCTCTGGAGGCAGTGACCAACCCATCCAACCAAAATCCAATAATGATGAATAGGGCTACTAGCGTCATCTTCTGGAACATGCGTGGAGCAAACAATGAAGACTTTCGCAAGAACTTTAGAGATCTCTTGGATACCCACAAACCCTGCTTAGTAGCATTGCTCGAAACTAGGATGTCATCCCATGCAAGCCTTCTCAACGACTACAACTTCACAGAAATGATTGAGGTTCCCGCTGAAGGCCAATCTGGTGGTCTAGCTGTTCTCTATGACCACAAAGTGGTTACTGTCAACAATTTTACTAGAAGGGGCCGGGAAATCCATGCCATGATAGAGGTAATTCCCTACAAATTCTCATGGTTGCTTAGTACTATTTATGCCAGCAATGATGTCTATATAAGAGAATCTATGTGGAATTATCTAGAATATATTGCTAGTAACTTCAATGGACCCTGACTATTAGGAGGTGACCTCAATGATATTACTATGTCATCTGAAAAATTTGGAGGTAGGCCAATAAATCTTTTTAAAACTAATAGGATTTGGAACCATATCAATAATTGTAAGCTATTCGATTTAGGGTTCAAAGGTTGTAAATACACCTGGTCTAACCACCGAAAGAGACACAAAGTCCTTATCATGGAAAGACTAGACAGATTTTTGGCTAATGAAAATTGGCTAAGTCTGTTCCCAGGCTCCTCAGTTACTCACTTACCTAAATCCTATTCGGACCATAATACCTTGCTCCTTAATCTTAACTCCTTTAAAGGTTGCCATAGTCAAAAACCTTTTAGGCTAGAGAACATTTGGTGCACCCACCCCGACTTCACTAAATTAGTTTTCTCACTGGGCCAATAATAACTTTAAATCGGCCTCACATGATTTTGTTATTAATATTACAAACTGGAGTAAGTCTACCTTTGGGGATATCTTCAAGAAAAAGAAGGAAATATTAGCTAGACTTAAGGGCATCCAGTGCTCCCCCCACTATGCTACTAGTAGGTTTTTACAAGAGCTTGAAATTTCGTTACAAAAAGATTATAATACATTCCTCAAATTAGAAGAGGACTACTAGGAACTTAGATCAAGAGTAAATTGACTAAATGATGGCGACGCAAATACGAAATTCTTCCAAATTAGTGCCACTAATAGAAGAACGAGAAATCACATAAGCTACTTTAAAGACAACTCCGGAAACTGGATTGATAATCCTAAGGAAATTCTGAGCCATGTCCAAAATTATTTTGAGGAAGCCTTTACTACATCACATCATCTCTCAACAAAAGTATAGTCTACCAAAGAGTTTCGATCACGTAGATCTATCCAGCCTAGATAGACCTCTATGTGATAGTAAAATTCAAAAGGTCTTATTCTCGTTTAAACCTTACAAAGTCTCGGGACCGGATGGTTTCCACCCCTTTTTCTACCAACATTATTGGAAAATAGTTGGCCCCAGTGTTACTACCTACTGCCAAGAAATCTTTGCTACTCAACACATCCATTGGAAAATAATAGCACTTACATCTGTCTCATTCCTAAAATACCCAATGCAAACGACCTAAAAAACTTTAGGCCTATCAGTCTCTGTAATACAATTTACAAAGTGATTACCAAAATCATCACTAATAGACTAAAACCCTTCTTGGATAAAATCATTAGCCCTTTTCAAGCTAGCTTCCTAAAAAATAGACGTGCTAGTAATAATGCTATTTTAATCCAAGAAGTCGAATCATTTCAAGAAAAGTAGTAGTAAGAAAGGCAAAATGATTCTTAAGCTTGACTTAGAAAAAGCTTTTGATAAGCTTGAGTGGTCCTTTATCCATAAAACATTGATTTACTTTAAATTTCCCCCAAAAATAACCATTCTCATCATGTCTTGCATTACCACTAGCACTATGTCAGTGCTAGTTAATGGTACTACCACAAGATGTTTCTCCCCAAGTCGTGGTATTAGGCAAGGTGACCCTATGTCACCATACATATTCATTATAAATGTTCGCTAGATATATAAATCACCAAGTTGACATTAAAATTTGGGACCCTATTAGGCTATCAACGAATGGTTTAAGCCTTTCCCATCTTTTCTTCACAGACGACCTAACCCTAATGGGTCACATTAATAGCAAGACTTGCAACACTATCCTCTATGGTATTAATTAATTTTGCAACATGTCAGGACAATCCATAAACTTTGTTAAATCTAAAATCATTTTTTCTAAAAGTTGTCCTAATAGTTGCATCATTGATATTTTCCAATTTTTTGGTATAAAAAAATGTGATTCCTTCGAAAAATATCTTGGCTTTCCCATAACCAATTCCAGCCCTAAAGCTAAGGATTTCCAATATATTCTAGATACAATGAGAGCTAGATTAGCCATGTGAAAATCAAGCTGCTTAAATATCGCGGGTAGAACTACTCTTGCATGCTCTACTCTAGCATGTATCCCTAGCCACGTTATGCAATATACCCTTCTCCCCATTAAAATCCTTAAATCAATTGACAAAAATTCAAAGGGATTTCATCTAGGGTACAACGGATTCCAAACAAAAACTTCATCTCATTAGCTGGGAAACAATCACTACTAATAATGATAAAGGGGGCTTGGGATTACGCAAAGCAAAATCCAAGAATTTAGCCTTACTTACTAGTGCAGCTTGGAGGTTTCTTAACTCTCCTTCTGCCCCTTGGGCCAACATCCTTGCCCAGAAAATTGTTAACAACAACAGAAAATCGAAGCACTCCCATACATGGAATAGCCTTCTTAAGGGCTGGCATATCTGTACTAAAGGGAGCCTATGGTCAATCCATAGTAACTCCTCTCTCTCCATTCGGAGCGCTAGATGGATCCCACACACACCCCTCCTTAAGAAACTGTATAGAAGGCCCCTTACATAATAAGGATCATGAACTGAAAATCAGTGATCTCATTGTTAATAATACTTGGGCCTTCGATAAGCTTTCCTTCGTCCCCCCCCCCTACAGTCTCTAATAACATTGCCAACATCTGTATACCCACTGAACGTTATCATGACCACCTCATCTGGGAACCCAGTTCTGATGATTGCTTTCCATGGCCTCATGCTACTCCCTAATGGAGAATCGTATACCATCTCCTTGTAATAACTCTAGAGACTTCAAATGGGTATGGGAGGCTCAATGCTCAAATAAAATTAAATTCTTCCTTTGGAAATGTTGCCACAACAGACTCTCCACACGCTCCTTCCTTCATCATATTGGAATGAATATAGATAAAACTTGCACTGCGTGTAGGTCAGGAGATGAATCCCTTCCCCATATCTTCCTACACTGCGAGGTAGCCATGCATCTATGGACATCCCTTAATATTGATACGACTGCTCTAGATTGTGGTGATACCAATTGGCTATACGCCATCAAAAATAGTAACCATTTGGTTCCATCCAACATCATCAACTGGAACCTATTGTTCCCTTTCTTACTCTGGAACATTTGGCTAAATAGAAACCATAATCTGGAAAACAATACTACTAATCTCATATCCCTACCACGTATCATTAATCAAGCTAGTGAATTTCATTACCTAACGAATAGGGAAAGCAGCCAGAAACTTAGACTCAGCTGCAGCACAAATTGGAGAAAGTCTCTAATAGGTTGGTACAAACTAAATCTCGATGGTGCTCATAATAATGCTACAAGCGGAATAGGTGGAGTGGTACGTGATCATTATGGCCAATGGATACTAGGCTTCAACATGAGAATACATGCAACTTCATGCATCCATGCAGAGCTATTGGCTTTCGAGCAAAGTCTGAAGTTCGCGTTAGAAAGAAACCTACTCCCTCTGGAAATTGAATCTGACTCATTACAGGTATTACAATCCCTGGAAAATAGTACAACTATTTTTAACTCTCTTGTTCATAACTGCAGGTGGCTACTATTAGGGAGAAGGTCATAGTGGTCCGGCATAGCTTCAGAGAAGGGAACAAAGTAGCAGACCGCCTGGCTAAGGAAGCGACCATGCAAACTCTTATAAATAAGATAGTTTATTTTGATAGACCTCCCCCATATGTCATGGCCAGGATGCTGGCGGACAGGGTTAGAGGCAGTAGTAGGAAACTAGTGCTTAGAAGCACCTGTAGAACTCTAGCATCTTTTGGTAATCTAAATGCTATAGATGGCATTATGGCTTTGTGTAATGATCCAGTGGATCAATGTACTAATGCTCCTTAGTTTGTGTTAATAAAATTCTCCTTTGTAAAAAAAAAAAAAAACTAAGTTAAACATAGCGCGACGTCCTACCGATTTATCATGACCGAAATTTTAGATCAGATTTTTCTCATGAAACTTAAAAAAGGTTAATTTTGCATAAGTTCTTAAAACATATCATATTTGTGCAAATCTCCCAAAGAAAACATAGCGTGTTTGGCCAAACATCTTAGCGGCTAGAAGCATTTTCCCCCCTAAAAGAATGCTCTTTTTAAAGATTTGAGATGTTTGGCTAACAACCAGAAGCGCTTTTGAACATAAACAGAAATTTAATTTTTTCAAAGAAATATCCCTACCACAAGTTTATATTTAATAAACTATCATTGTTAATTAGTCTAATTTATCT